CGCTGTTCTGAATGCCCAGAAAGGAACACGAAGGTCACAGCATCGTGACTTTTGTCCTAGAAAAGTAGTATCTTCGAGAGTCAAGAAAAGTCTCTGTGTAAATACCACTCAGAGCGTGAACAATAAATGCACATGGAGAGCCCTCTGGTGCACTGGGTGTACCTTTATTATGACCTCGTTCACTAACAGTTCCGTGATGCAAGGTTACCATACACAGTTAGATAATGTCTGCATTGCACATCTAAGGCTATACAGCAAAAGAACCAGAATTAGTACAAATACAGGAACTATATTTACATTCTGTATACCCAAGCTCCAAACATCAGATAATATTTACATAATAAAACATGAAAATGAAAATCAGAAATTAATAATGTACATACATTGTTGCTGATGTGCTCAACTCCTTCACTGGGGAGAGATCAGTTTGCAAAGTCCTGGTTCAAAAAGGCCACTTATGTTCATGGGTTTGTTTAATGCACAAGGATGGTGACGTGAGAATTGAAATCTCAATGGACAAACACTTTAGAGCCACAAAGTCTAAGATGGTGCCTTCCACGTGGGAAGGCTGATGGAGCCCTCAGGCGAACTGATGCCAGAACACGCAGCGTGAAAGTAACTCGAAGACACGAAACGACACACGACAGCCAGGTTCGGCGAGACCAACCTCAGCTCGGACTTCCCATCTGAGTACAGCTACTTGGCTGTGGGTTTTTAACATGAAATTTGTATCAACTCTAATTTCTTCCTTTAAATGATTTAGCGACTTTCCCAAGATTTTATGGGGCTCGAATACGAATTTCATAAATGGCCTTTTGAACAACAAAAGCAGATAATCTCTCAGCTGATAATTCGATTCTAAGGAAACACAAATCAATGCATTCCTATCTCACACAGCAAGGGTTTGGCCACACACTTGGCTGAGTCATCCAGGGTGAGCGGCTGCAGTCCTCCGAGTCAGAGTCCTGTTTAAAGTACATTCAGCACAGCTTCTGTGAGCAGCAGCAGGGTTAGAATTCTCTTTAAGGAGCAGGTTAACAATCACATTTTAAAAAAGGACCCAAAAGGAAAGATGCAGGAGCCCAGTCAAACAAACCAACAACAAGCCCTGACACTGCCCAGGAGCACCGAGTGGCAGGCAGCACCAGGGATGCCGGTACTGGCAGGTGCCACGCGCGAGGTCAGCCTCTCTTTTTCAGTCCAATGTGCAATTAATTACAGCTGTATAAATATACAAATACCTTACAGAATTTAATTTAATTAAATAATTAGAGAACAAGCAGCAGGCAACAAAGTCTTTGCTTTGAAATATGTGCCAGGAGAAGTCATTTTACTTTTAGATCCTAAAAGGCCTTTTGCAATGATTTAATTGATTCATCTTAAAAGAGCTGGAAAATATCCAGCAAAACTCTGAGTGTCTGTGTAAGTTCTACAGAGCTGAAGGGAAAACAGATACATAAAACAGTGGTTTCCTAGTCGGGAAGATCATCTTCCCTTGCCATCAGTGAACAGTGTGCTGGAATTTAGGACCCGCCCAGCTGCCAGAGCAGCCCTTCCCGTGCCCTGGCCGTGTGCAGGGGCTGGCCGGCCCCCGCACAGCCCGGCCTGAGAGCTGGCTGACCCCCAGGCAGGCGCAGGAGGCGGGCGTGAGCACTGGCTTGGTGCGGGCTGTGAGGCCGTATTTTGCTTTGGCAGGAGACAGGAGGATGGGGATCGAGGGAGCAGAGGGTTACTTTTAACTAGCATTCATGTCTCCTTCATTTGTGTAAGGGTTTTCTGTCTTGCTTTTTTTTTTGCTTGTTTAAAGGAGTGATTTGGAAAAAAATTAAAAACCCTCAAAAGGTGGTTTCCTTAAAAGGTCAAGTTCATTCCTCAACTTTCCTGGCCCCATGGCTTCAGCTAAAGCCTCATAGTTTCTGTCAGAAACCTTCTCTCAGAACTTCAAAGTGGGGATGAAACTGTCTGGAAAGGGAACATCAACCCTGAAACTTCCAGCTCCAATTTGAAGATGGGCCCTAGAGAAAGAGGGGGTACCAAAAGGGGCTGCCTGTACCTGTCAGCCGCAGCAGAGGCCCTTCGGACGGGGAGAGCACACGAGACCCCGCATTCTCACGAGGCCTTCCTGCTTGGGCACGTGACGAACAGTTCAGTGCCGCCTATTCTAAGAGCTGACACTCCAAAGCAAAGACTTTCCAAGCCAGTTGTGTTTGAGTTAGAAGAAGAAACCAAAGTCATTTCAGTGTATCACACGATTACTCTCCCTCAGCCTTCCCCACCTATTGCCACACAGACATGGATCCTTCCATCAAACTTTGTAACAGCAGCAGCATCCATGATTTGATTCTAAAAGTAATCTTCAATGTCATTTCCCTGAAATTAGATTTAATTCCGGCCCAGGAAGCTGTCTCTAAGCACGGACAGATCCTAGATTGGGGTATACAGCAGAAGGGCATATTGTGTCCATTAAACAACACGGAAACCTCTACATTAAAAATGTTGCTTAGAAAAACTAGTAACATTACTGTTAGTGACCTATGTTTTAAGGAGAAGAAAGTTTAAAAAATCTAGAGTTTTATTGACCACTTTTCAGATAAGGGCACAGCCTGTGGTTCTGTCCTTTCTTTTATTACACTCTCCCTGACTCACTTCCGCCTCTTTGCAAGGCAATTATAAGGAGTGCAGCTGTGAGCCCTGTTCTGAGATGAGCCCAACCGGGGAGGGTGGAAGCAAGGTCTGAGCCTGCCCAGCAACTACCCCACAGAGTGCGCGGCCCCTGCCCTTGGCTGCTAAGGCAAAGCCATCCAGTTCCCCAGCACCTGAGAGTCAGCAACCCCAAGGCTGAGACCCTCAGTCTCCACAGGGCGGGAACCAGCAGATACTGTCCTGAATGCCCACGGGATGGTCAAGCAGAGAGGTCTGAGCAAGGGAGGTAAACGGTGGTATAAACAACCTAAGCCGACTAATGGCAAAGCTACTCAAGGAACTGGGGCCTTTTTTCCTCCCTGTCACTCTGAAACCCTTGTCGGCAGCTGAGAGAAAGTGTATCTTCCATGCTGGCGTCTGGAAGAGCCGACCCTGACCTGTCAGGAGACTATCAGCTTCCTCCTTCCCTCTCTGGCAACGCTTCCACACCCGCTTCCACACCCCATGGAGAAGCAAGGTGAGGCCAGCGGGTGCGCCACGAAACCCTGGGGCCAGGGCTCAGGTGGGGTCTCTTCTCTGCCCCCAGATGTCCTTTCGTTTTGTTTTTAGTGGTGGGAGTGGCTGGTTTTAATCCTGGGTCCAGAAAGCAAAGTCTGCCATGTCTGCTTATTGATGAGTATAGGGACAGGCATCACTGAAAGTCTTTTCAATCTGACAGAGATCATTGAAAATAACCACTGGGTTCAGAGTAGACTTCCAGGTTTACAAGTGAAAGCTGCATTTCTTTGATCAACAGGAGCTACATTCACAAGGTCATTACTCAGCATTACCACAATGACCATCAAATTCCTCGTCAGAAAGCGAAGCACTCCCCCTTGTGGGACATCTGTGTATGACATCACAGATTGCAAACGGGCCATCATCACCAATGCCAAGAACAGAACAGAGAGGAGGCTCCCTCCCAGATGAGCAGCACAGTTCCCAGGAATCCTACTGACCCTCCCACCCACCCACCCTACGCTCCTTGGAAACCCAACATCCTTGGCTCTTCCCTTTTGACAAGTCAGCAGCGGCCACTGCCGCAGGCCTGTTAAAAGCTCTCTCCTCTCTTCTCTTCCACTGACTGAAAACTGCATGACCATGTTCTAAGCAAGCCCGATTTCAGAGAATATACCTGTCCCATTGCTGAGCTCACCACAACCTTCTCCCTGACTGGAAACGCAGGGATTAGTGAGGGAAGAAAGCAACAAAGGGAAAAAGGTAAGCTTTTCCCTCTCAGCTTCCAAAAAGGCCAGATGTCTCCTCCCTTTGTCTCTAAGCCACCCAAGAAAAATTAAAGTTGACAGCACAAACAGAGAAAAGAAAAAAATGTATTATGTTGTCTTGAAAAAAGACAGATAGCCAAAGACAGCAGTACAGACATCAGAGGTGGTCACAGGGGGAGCGCTCATACAAAAGGAAGCCAAGATATACCAAAAATAATTTGGAGAGTCACTGGATTTCCCTCTCTCTGTTTTTTGTTTGTTTGTTTTGTTTTGTTGTATGTGTTTTTCCCCTTTTGTTAGGCCACATGCTACTAACAAGATTCTCAGCACAGGAAAAAAGAAAAAGGGTACAGAGCAATGGAGATAGGGAACAGGAGCTAGAAAAAGTGCTGGACAAGAGGGAAAAGTAGTTAAGCCACAGGATTACATACAAGAGCAACCGTCAAGAATCACAAAGAGAAACGAGAGGTAACACTTCCTTTATCTCTGGGAAGGCGCGTGAGGGTGCGCAGCAGTCGCTCAGTACTTCAGCTGGCTCGAGCCTCTGAGGGAGAGTTTCGACCTATGGGTGACAGAGAGAGAGGCCCGTTAGGAAACTGGATCCAGATGTTTCTCCCTCACAGGCCTCTTCCCCCATGAGCCCCTCCTTGGACTTCTTTCTAAACTGCGCTGCAGACCCAGGTCTCGGGCTCTCTGAACCAACAGGCTACACGGTGGTCTTCCTGCTGGGGGACCTGCAACGCAGCCCTTCAGAGGATGGGAGGCTGGTCATAGTGCTGAATACTGACTGGCAGGCGGTAAGGGCCTCCCAATCTTCCCTTTGCTCAGCCCCACAGACCCTGGCTGCAGACCCTTGAGAACAAAAAGTCAAAGCAGATCAGTTAAATGCAAATGTGACCAGGGTCTCCTTAGCTGCTCGGGACACCAGGTGATAGCTTGTGAGAAGCCGAGGCCTCGTCAGCACCCCACAACCGCACTTACACCCCTGTCCTTCCTCTATTTTAAATCTGTTTGCAACAAGACTTCCTTCCCTATTTATGCTGATGTTCCTGGGACTGAAAGCCAAGGAAGGGAACGCAGGGACAGCTTCTTACCGTATTGTGCCAGCAAGGAGTGGATTAAAGGCATATAACCAGTCACTCATGTCTTTGTCGTTGAGAGCCTGCAAAAGGACCCCACGGTGCTTTGTGCATACAGCGAAGATGTTAGGACTCTGAAAGAGATGCAGGTAGATGAGAAAGTTACGAGGGCTATGAGCAATGGGGACACCGGCCATATTCACAGGGCATACGGCACTTCGCACTGGCACTTCAGAGAGCCAAATATACAGGAGAGACACTGTATCACACAACAGAATCCAGAACTCAAAAGGGAAGGGCATGCCTGGCAATGAGAAGTCGAGAGAGGGCAGGACTGACCTTCACCATGGCCTGCTGGTCCTCGCTGTATTCCACCTGCGCTGTGGACAGGTTAATGATGCCACGTTCCACTGGGTCTTTGTCACTGTTATAGATGAAGACGTAAGGGCGACGGACCACAACAAAATGCTTAGCCCAGTTGCTGGAAAATGGCTCCTTGAAATGCAGGTATCCTTTTTTGGAAACCACTGAGCTAAAAAGGACAATAGAAGATAGGTTTGTTTCTCACAAAAAGAAAGTGATTATAGCCAAAACCGGTTTGGCTCGGTGGATAGAGTGTCGGCCTGCGGACTGAAGGGTCCCAGGTTCGATTCCGGTCAAGGGCATGTACCTGGGTTGTGGGCACATCCCCAGTGGGAGGTGTGCAGGAGGCAGCTGGTCGATGTTTCTCTCTCATCGATGTTTCTAGCTCTCTATCCCTCTCCCTTCCTCTCTGTAAAATATCAATAAAAATAAAAAATAAAAAAAAATAAAAAGAATCCTCTAAAAAAAAAAAAGAAAGTGATTATGAGCTGAGAACCATTAAAATATGTCTCACCTAGGCCAAGTCCCTCGTGTGAAAAAAACAGGACAATGATCTATTTGGTCTAGGACAGGGGTGGGCAACCCCTGGCACGCGTGCCAAACATGGCACGCCAGTAACTTTTGCTGGCACGCGAAACCCTCTCTTATAATCTTCCATTTACAATTTTTTTCTTAATATCGACTTTTTTATTTTTCAGATAAATTCAGTGTAGGTGCATCTTAGATAAATAAATAATTTTACATAACAAGTTATCTTAAAGACCAAAGACATGGATTGATGAGAGAGGGGAAGAGCAATTTCTATGCCTCTGCCTTAACTCTCCCTGCCTTCCTAGATGCAACCAGTGTTTTGGTTTCATCCACATGCGCTTGTGAATCTTTGTTCTCAGTGATGAATTTTGTTAAGTCTCGTAATAGGAGTAGCCTGACGGATGAAAGTAGTAGCTCGTGCATATCTCTGAAGGTCACGAAATATAAACCTGATGTAAAATCTCTGTCGTCAGTGATGCAGCAGCAACAGTCTCACTGATAATATCAAACGGAGTCATAAAGTTTTCTGTCGGACTATCAGTGTACATGTATACATTAAAAAATAAATGTATTTTTCATCATCATATACTGTGTTTTTGTTGCTCGAATGAATTTTATTATTTCTTCAAGGTTCTTCACATACGTACACCTTAAGAGTTATCAAGTAGGTGTAACATGTTCTCAAAAAATTAGGGTTGGCACGCAGAAGAATTCTGAGTCAGAGATTTTGCTGGTTTTGGCACGCACTCACAAAAAGGTTGCTCACCCCTGGCCTAGGACCTTATCTGCCAAAGTAACACAGCAAGAGGAGACAAAGCACCACACAGCATGCTGAGCAGGTGGGTGCGTGATGGCACAGCGGGGGCGGAAACCCAGCCGGAGCTCTCACCGGATCCATGCGCATCACACTGCAACAGAGACCTCACGGAAGAGCTGGAAGCACATTCTTCTGACCTGTTTTAATACCCAGCATCTCTGGGTAATTTAGTACTCACCCTGGTCTAATTTCTTCAATATCTGGAACAAGGTTGAGAAATTCATTTTTCCCTGCTCGGGCCAAATACGGTGTTTCCACAGTTGGGACAATTTGAAACTGCTCAAATTCTGGGCAGGGACTAGAGGCCCGGGAATTGGCTTCTGGGGTCCTTTAAAAGAGAGGTTAGAGGTTAGGGACAGCAAGAGCTTCTGTAAGGAATGCAGATGTGTACAACCACCCCACCAGCAGGAACGAGGCCTCTCCGTACACCAGGGGCCCCGCAGACATCAGGGTCAGAGAGCTCGCCTGGGAGGACAAGCTGGTGTCAGAACGGTAACTGCAAATGCCACTGGGCTCATCCTTCAGAAGTTACAAAGGAGGCTGGTCACTGATGAGCGCGTGTCACTCAGACCACCTCCTGTTCTGAAGCCCTGAACTGAAGTGTCTGGAACATGACTCCACCCCCGTTTCAATTTAGTCCCAAGGTCACACCTAGCACAGCGGCTCTCAGTGAGGACCCTGACCCAGCAGCGTCAGCTGCTCCTGGAAACCGTTAGAAATTCAAATTCTCAGGCTCCACCCCAGACCCAGAGAACCAGGAACTCTCTCTGGGTGGGGTTCAGCCACGTGGGCTTTAACAAGCCCCCCAGTGATGCACTAACATCTGAGAACCACAGCCTGAGGGACTGGCAGAGAAAGCAGATCAAGGGGTGAAGGCTGTCTCTGAATGACCATGAGGTGCACAGCTGCACGCCGCCCTGGGCCAGGCCAGATTGTACGGGAGAAATAATTCCTCTGCTCTGCAGTGTTAGTTAGTCATCTTCGGACAGCAGCCTCGTCTAATTAATTGTACTTCGTCAATTACAAAAGCCCATTTGTAAATGCCTTCCCATTCCTCAAATTGGGATGCGTCTTACAATCAGTAGTGTGTCACATTTTAGCTGGCAGTGCCTTTTCTTTCTTAGTGGCATGTAAAATAATGTCTGACAGTCAATGGCAGCCGAGAATTAATTAGATTGCCTCGAATTAATTAGATTGCCTCTTTGTTATTTTCTCCAGAGTGCTGGTACATTCAGATAGACAGCTGGATGATAACGAGGTGGGCTCTGACAGGTGAGCGTAATGAAGGAGACAGGGCAAAGGACTTTGAGGTGCACTGTACCGATGAATTCACATTAAAGTTGTCTCCATTAGTCTTACCTATACATTTTTTGTATCATCAAAAATATTTTCCCTAAGATGGGGCTTCCTATGTGGGGTATGACTGAGGAGAGAAGCAGGGTGGGAGTGGAAGGACAAGTGAGCAGGACGGGAATAAGAGGAACCAATGGTTTGGTGCAGGAAGCTAGGAAGACGTGATTATTAAAAGATGTCAGTAGCATTTTTCCAGACACTGTGACACCTAGAGAAGGCTCCCCATATTTCCGGATGCTGCCTAGGGGGCTGGTGCTGCCCTCAGCTGAGAACCACTGAGCTAGAGGAAGACCGGCCTTTTCCCCAGTTCTTAGATTAGCTTCTCGCGGTGAAACCTGGGCACCTACTTCTGATCCACAGAGTTGCTCCTAGAGTCCACCAGAGAGGGGCAGGTGGAGGAGGGAGTGAGGGTTGAGCTGCTGAAACTGGACACAGAGGGATCCCGTCCAATTGGAGAGATATCCGACAACTGGAAGCAAACAGAACAGAGCGAGTGAGATTCAGATGGAAGAAACTGTCTCTGCAATAAGAAGCTTTGGCAACCAGTGACCTCACTTTAAAAAATATCCTGCTTCAGGTTGTTTAAGAAAACAAGCCTTACAGATACATATTTTATGGCCCCTGTGTCTGTTAGGAATCATGACATTTACAAAAGAGGCAAGGCTGGCTTTTTATATTGCCACTGCCCTCCCGCATTAATTAAATGACCTTATGCATGAGCCGAGCACTTAGCACAGCAGGCAAAGTTCTAAGAATATGGCAGAGGACCTGGCCTACTGGAGCTTACACTCTAAGTGAAGAAGGCAGACAATAAGCCAGTCAACACACACATCAAGAAGTGTCAGGCTCTGGTTGGGTGGCTCCGGTGGTTGGAGTGTCGCCCGTACACCAAAGGGTAAGGGTTAAATTCCCAGTCAGGGAACATACCTAGGTTTCAGGTTCAATCCCAGGTCAGGGCATGTATGGGAAGCGACCAATCGATTTTTTTGTTTTTCTCTCTCTCTCCCTTCCTCTCTCTCTCAAATCAATAAGAACATATCCTCGGGTGAGGATTAAAAGAAATGTCAGGGAGTGATAAGTGCTATAGCAAAAAATGAGTCAGGGAAAGAGGAAGTTTCATTGTTGGCTTTACAATGTGTGGTTTACAAATTTGAACTGAAAAGGAAACATCAGTGAGCCAAGCATGGGAACATCTGGAAGAAGACGACTATTCTGGGCAAAGGAATGGCAAGAGTGCAAAGACCCCGCTCGGCAGGAATGAGCCAGAAAGGTCAAGATGACTAGAATAGAGCGAATGACCCAGCAGTTCTTTAAAGTGTTCACCTCACTCTTTGTGGAAGGCAACAAAATCTCATGCCACCAAGAACCTCAGGACTTGTTCCCTGTCACACAGGACAAATTACCCCCTACAGAATATTCCCCAAGGGATTCAGGGGAAAGCCAAAATAGTCCCCATCTGATAATCACTCTAAGAGACACAGAGACATACTTTCACCTTCAGAAGTCGGTATTCTGAAAAAATCAGATACAAGAGCAGATATGTCACGCAACCATGCTATGCCCACATCAAGCCACCTAAAAGCAGCGTACGCTGGGGACAGGAAATGTGAGCGGCTCACCTTACAGTCACTGATGCTGCCGTGCACCTGGCTGAATTCTCGGTTGAAAGTGTGGGTGAGAAGTTGCAGGCACTAGGAAAAAGAAAGGCCAGCATTAAGTTTATTTTTTAAAAAAATTGTTTATTGTTCAAAGTACTAGTATTACATATATGTCCCCCTTTTCCCCTCATTGACTCCCTCTAGCCTGCCCCCTCCCCCTCCACCCCAGGCCTTCAGCACCCTATTGTCTGTGACCATGGGTTATGCATATGTGCAGACAAGATCTTTGGTTGAGTACCTCCCACCCACCTACACTCTCTCACCTTCCCTCTGAGATTCTGCACTCTGTTCCATACTTTGATGTCTCTGGATCCACACCGTTCATCACTTTATTTTGTTACTTAGATTCCACATGAGTGCGATCATGTGATACTTGTCTTTCTGGCTGACTGACTGACTTATTTTACTTAGCATGATACTCTCCAGGTCCCTCCATGCTGTCTCAAAGGGTAAGAGATTCTTCCTTTTTACTGCTGCATAGTATTCCATGGTATAAATGTACCACCGCTTATTTATTCACTCATCTACTAATGGGCACTTGAGCTGTTTTGAGATCTTAGCTATTTTAAATTGTGTTGCTATGAACATAGGGGTGGCAGCGTAAATTTCAATGGTTAAACAAAGCTCTGGACACAAGGCAGGAAGGGAAAATCACATGCCCAAGTCACAGTGGAGCTCAGATGCTGCCTAACAGCTCTAGAAATTAACTAAGCATATAGCAAGGAGCCTGTATATGCCTAATGAAAAAGGTAAAGTGTGTGGATAAAAAAGCCATTCTCAAATCTATACAAGTGAATACTGCAACATCATAGTTTAAAGTGCTTAAGAATGCAATAACATCCCTTTCATTCTTATTTTGCTTTATAATTTCTCATTTGAATTACTGCAATAGTTTTTTTCTGCCTCTAGTCCAGTGGTTCTCAACCTTCTGGCCCTTTAAATACAGTTCCTTATGTTGTGACCCAACCATAAAATTATTTTCGTTGCTACTTCATAACTGTAATGTTGCTACTGTTATGAATCGTAATGTAAATATCTGATATGCAGGATGGTCTTAGGCGACCCGTGAAAGGGTCGTTTGACCCCCAAAGGGGTCACGACCCACAGGTTGAGAACCGCTGCTCTAGTCTCTCTCTTCATCACAAATCCATCCTCTTTTTTGCTGTCAGAGAAGTCTTTCTAAAACAAATACCCGTTTAAAATATTGCCATGTCACTCCCAAGACACTCTAAACCAAGGGTGGGGAACATACAGCCCACAGGCCATATAAGACCCTCGAAATCATTTCATCTGACCCTGCCAAGGTGTTAGGGGTGAGTTAAATGTTTGACCAAATATAGCAAGGCTAAACTTTTTTTTTAATATATATATTTTTTATAGATTTCAGAGAGAAAGGGAGAGGGAGAGAGATAGAAACATCAATGATGAGAATCATTGACTGGCTGCCTCCTGCACAACCCCCACCGGGGATTGAGCCCGCAACCTGGGCATGTGCCCTTGACTGGAATCAAACCCAGACCCTTCTGTACACAGGCCAATGCACTATCCACTGACCCAAACAGGCTAGGGCGCAAGGCTAATTTTGAAGTTGATAATTTTGCACGGCCCAAGAATGATGCTATAAATATCCAAATGCTCTTGGCAGAAAAAAGGTTCCCCATCCTGCTCTAAACTCTCTAGCATGGTATGCACGATGCCCTGGCCCATCTCCCTAACTCCATCTCATGCCCCCCACAGGATTCCTTCACACTGATCATGCAGGACGGCTAGCTCCCTCCCCTGCTCCCTCTTGAGCCAGTTCATGATGCCCTCCTGTGGAGGCCTCGCCTCTGGCTCCCACAGCACCTAGACATACGCCTCTATTATATGCTTGTCACCATTTGTATGTAAGCTAATTAAGGGTAGAACTGAGTCCTATTTGTTTCTATATTCATAGTGTTAGTGCAGGCCTTAAAACAGAAGCCCTCAAAGAAGGAAGAAAATGAAACGGAAACTGACTGATCAGCTGAGTCTCATGGGCAAATACCCAGCCAAGGGAAGGGAGTCACACCTTGGTGGCCAGCTCTTTCTCTCGGTCCACCAGGCTCTCAATGTCTGCGGAGTCGTAGCCACTGCTCTCGCTGGGTGTGATGGCACTTTCAAAGGTGGTGGTTGAGATCTGAGAGGAGATGCTGGTGGAGGTGCTGAGGGTCCCACTGCTCAGGCTGGGGGACAACGAGTCGCTCAGGGATTTGGGGGCGCTGTCACCAAGTCTCTCACGCAGCAGCAGGAAGTGGCGAGTTTTCTCCACCTAAGAAGAGCAACACTGTTGCCTCAGCAAACACAAAGCTCATTACGATTTTAGTAAGAACAATATTATGTCTCACGGTGATGGAAACCTGGAAAGCCAGGATCACACGGAGGCGGTGACGGAGAGTCTCGGGCCCGAGCTTTCATCTGAGCACCCCCGCCCCCCCGATTCGTACCTCATGGATGAGCTCCAGCTTCTCCAGCTCCCACTGGTGCTCCAGGATGAGGCTGTCCCCACGGGGCCGCCAGCCAGCTAAGTTCTCTTCTCCCCGCACATAGGCCACTGATGTATCCAAGACTTTTCTCCTCCTCCTCTGCATGCCTGAGACAAGAGGAAACAACTCTTTCTGAGAAAAATCTGATTCCAGTGTTACCTCAAAATCAATGAATAATCCATATACATAATGAACTAAGAGAGACTTGGTCTCTAGATACATGGGATTTTGTTAATAATAATTCAACCCCTTTGAATTCAAAGCAATTCTCTAAATTCCTTTTAAAAGTAAGATTTACATTATTTGATAATTATGAAGACTGCAATACAACTTGAGAAAAAGTTATTATGTTAAGTGAAAATATAGAGGCGATTACATAGTCTGTACACGATGGTCCCCAATATATAAAAATACACCCACACATACACACACCCACATTCAGTAGTTCAGGTAGAATGGCAGAGGACAGATGGCTTTACCCCAACATCTCCCATTAATTTTGTAAAATGTTAAACTGTTTTTACATATAAAAGACATAAATTCATGTTAATTAAATAATCCTCAAGGAACTCTCTGGACACTATAATTAGCTGCTATTGGGACTTAGAATCATACTCAAAGTCTTCTTTTTTTAAATCTAAATCTTACCTGTGAGCCCTGACCTCTTTCCACATATGTTCTCTAAAATGATTCAAACTCATATTAACCAAATGTTTTTTTAAAAGAATCCTGACTTTTATGCCCGGGTTGCAGGCTCAATCCCCAGTAAGGGGGTATGCAGGAGGCAGCCAATAGCTGTTTTGCTCTCATATAGATGTTTCTCTCTCTCTCTCTAAAAATCAATAGAAATATTTTCAAAAGAATGCCTAATATTAAAAACAAAACCTTTTGTCCATGTTCCAGTTTACAAACATAAAAATCCAAAGTGCTGCTTAAGGCCACCAAGCTGAAGGAACAGAGCCCAAGGAGACATCAAAAAGGACACAAACAAGTTCTACTTGATTTGTCATCTCAGCACAGGAAATTCAAATTCTAGTCTGACAGCACCTGTGAAGTGATACTACCAAGTTAACCTTGGGGCTAAGCTGGAGAGCGAAAGGGTTATGAAGTTTTCCAAACAAATTCACTCTAATACACTTGACTATTGTATAATATTCCATAGCCCGGGAACATTTTGTTTGGTAAAATTTTTATAATTGTATTGCACGTCACAAACCAAAGTGTTGTAACTCAGAAAAATATAACTCACAAAAATATAGCACAAAAATCTTCTTGTAAAATCTGCTTGGTTTCTAATAAAGTTTATATCTCGCCTACATGGGTAAGGTAGATTTTTGACATGATACACTCCAAACATATGCAAAGACAACTATCACCTCCCCGTCCATTAGCTCTTACCTGGACTACCTGTGTCTGCCATTTTGCATAAACTGAGTTCATAAATTCCAGTGACTCGATTGCTATTTAAAATTAAAACAAACAATTACTGAGTATCTTATATCACAGAAACAGGAAAATCTGACTTAAAACACTCTCTCCTCTGTAGGGACTGCAACCCGCCCTCACACATAAGTAACTTTTCCTGTTCTGAACTTAATTTTTTCATATAAGGAATCTGTTTTCATCTCAATCTTTTGAACATTTTTATTTTAATAGGATGAATAAAGTTGAATGATAAAGTTTACAATACAAATGTAAAAATGTGTCTTTTCTTACTGCAAGAGAGAAAAGTTGGGGGAAGTCTGACTAGAAAATGATAACCATCAAATTCTGGGGAGTGTGACTAGGGAGAGGTACTGAACCTTCTATTATATCAGTAATACTTATATCTTATGCTGGGTGGTGATGTATAAGTATTTACTGTATTATTCTTGATACATTTTTGTATATCTTAAATATGAATAAATCTTTAAAAGAAGAAAAATTCCCTTGGTACTCTGTTAGAATAATAATGACACTTTAAAAGAAAATTCAGTCCCTGTGAACTGTTTTGGAAGTGTTCACAATGTAATATTCCTTCCTTCCCTCTTTAATTCATCCAGTCATTAGTATTTTATTAAATGCCAACATTCAAGTCACTGCATCCCAGGTGTCGGTACCATAATGGCTTACAGGTAGTGAACTAGCCTGAGACAGCAAACCAGGGCGGCCTAGGGTTCTGCTGATTCTTTACTGGGCAAACCAACTGGAAGCTAAACTTGTCTCAAAACTTACGAGTCTGGTGACTTCGAGTAGCCGCTGGCGAGATCTTGGCGTCCCGAGAATAGAAGACCATGCACACGTCCTTGGTGATGACAGCTGGCTGGATGCAATGATCCAGCTGAAAGCAGACAGGAGCGGGCTCCATTAGATACAGACGGAGCATCTGCGACAGAGTCTGTGCCACCACATTTAGAATGCTGGTCCGGGATGTGGGGCTGGAGGATTTCAGCTCTACCAACTATTTCAACAGCAACACAGCCAATAATATCTGGTGGTGTTCTTTGCAGATGCATTTAATTTCAAAGTTTTATTCTGTAATAATGGCTAGCATACTCTTCTAAATCCTTTTATGTAGCATCTTAACAACTTTCTGAGGTAAATGCTATTGTTCCAGCTTAAGAAATGAGGAAATCGAGGCATAGAGGGGTGAAATCACTTGCCCAGAGACATGCAGGCAGCAAGTGGCAGCACCGGGATTTGAACTCAGACAAGCTGCTTCCAGAGTCTGTGCTGTTTGTCACCACTATGCTCTGTCCATGATTATAAAAGCGGGAGGCGAAGTTTTCTTAAAATCATACATTCTTTGAAGAATGGTGATTAGGGTACTAATGCTCAAGCTAAAAGAAGTCATGTGACTTTTTGATTAAACAGAGATTAGGAACAGAAACTAATATAATCAGAATAGTCAGCAAAGTAGAATAAAATAACTTGCCCTGGCCGGTGAAACTGTTTGTCGGAGCAGCGTCCCATAAGGTGGGTTCAATTCCCAATCAGGGCAAGTTTGGGAGGCAATTGATAGCTGTTTCTCTCTCTCTCAATTTCTCCTTCTCTCTCAAATTAATTTTTTTAAAAGCTTATTTTTTTAAAAAATAATTAACTTCGGATGTGGAAGGAGAAAGGACCTCAGTGGAATCTTTCCTCCCTGTTTCCTGCTCTAGTCTGTCCACTGTTCAGGGCTGCCTGTTCACAGCAATTCAAGTTCCGGTTCTCCTCACCTCTAAGTAGGCCGACAAGGTCATGTAGATCTTTTCCCCATAGGGTGTCACTCGGTTGAGAAGGAGGGAGTTATGGAGGGAGCTGTCCCACACGGCCTCAAAACGGTAGAAGGTCCTAAGGTCAGAAAGGCAAGAGAGAGTCATCCGAAAGAGCTGAAGCCACCTTAGTCCAGGTACTGTCCGTCAGTAACATCACAGAACCTATGCCAAGCAGCTCTCAGTTTACTGAAATCTAACAGCAGAGTGGAACCTTTACTCCAGGAGGAAAGGGCAGGACTCCTCCTTTTGTCCCCGCCCACCATCAAGTTGGCAATGCTCTTTTTTAGTTTTTAGTTTTTAGAGTCTGCTTCTCCTCTGCCTAAAACAAAAACAGTGAGATCAACCAAAGGGATTAAAATGAAAGGATGCGTGAGTATGAACAGAAAGTAAAAGAAGAAAGAAAGACTAAGTATGATCATCTATTAATCGAGAGCAGGAAGCAAATACTCGGTAATCTGTGGGCTGCAGTCTTCATATCACAACCCACTTCTGCTGGCCTCACCGATGTCACAAATGTATCTGGGAGAATTGCTGGAGGAAACAGTATAGAAAGCCTTGCTTCAAAGAGGTTACTGTTAGCTGATGTGTCAGTAATATGATTTTTAACACCTGAGGTAGCCAACTACTATGTGTCAGTTTAAAAAAAACCCAAACTCACTCACTTGAAAGTCAATCTTACATTTAATAACTAGAAGTTTGATTTAATTTCCTTCACTATTGAACCAGGATTTTTTCTATTCCAAAAGAGAAAACAAACAGATAAGGTAAGCAGCCCTGACAGGAGAAAGAGAAAAGCTTAAAAATAAACAAAATATTTCTCACAGACTCAGATACCCAAGTAGCTAAATGGGCCTCTACCACCACACAGGACAAAAACAAAGAAAAAAGTGAACGATTATGCAAAGCTACACACAGAGCAGCAAACCTTTCAAGCTTCTGACAGAGAGAAGACAAAGAAGACAAAAACAAAACCTGAGGTTCTCTATGAAGTGAGGGGAGTAACATTCTATTTTGCAATGTAGGAGGGGAACCTCATGGGCATAAGAATAAAACAGACAGGTTTATAAATGGAATAGGAAATAATGAAAGACTCTACACAGCATTTAGGAAGCCATATGTGGAAGTGTACACACATCAGAAAGCCCTGGGCACAACAGGAGCACAGTCTTTCTCTATTCCAGGTTTGCTTAGGTTTGGGTGGGGAACACACAGAATTAAAATAGCAGTCAAAGCAACAGAAGACACAAGCATTCTGATAAACTAGAATCTCTATGTGCAAAAAAGCAAACAGAAAATACCTAGGAATATCCTTATCAAGAAAGAGCCTGAAAAAACATAGGAAAAGCTTTTGTTAGTGCAGCAAAAGAAAAAAAAAGGGAAAGATAGAAAAGCAGAAGAAACTATACTAGTAGAGGGGTTACAATGATATGGGTCCCTCTCCCAGACATTCAATTACAGAAAATGCTGGGCAGAGGAGGGAATGTGGAGACCACCTCCATTAACAACCCTTTCGGAGGTGACTGAGTATTGGAATGGTAGGAGGTTGCTGTGGGAAACAAGTCAATTATGTAACATAAATGTAGGACTTGGAAGGAAAGGAGCCATGGCCTTTGGGAGTCACACTCTGCTACCAATATGTCAGAAAAGCCCTGTAACGTGTACACATAATACACCCAAATTGGAGTTCTGTAAGTGCAACTGTAAACATTAAATAGAATAGAAGCTCTCTGAACCGAACTCCATTTAGTAACTCACCGCATTGACTTACATTCTCCATGTCCCTAAAGTATAAAGACTGATGTCCATTTCTCACTGACCATTTGAAACTAGAGATCTCTCTTATATAACCAGACCACCTGCTCCGGAGAGGTGAGCTGCAAGCTTATCAAGTGTCGGTAATATCTGGTCCCAAACCTATTTATGTAGCTGCATTACTATAATCATCTAATTTAATCAACTAATAGGCAAATCAATAAGACATTAGGACAAAGAGAATTTCTGTTCATTGTAAATCAAAACTAAGTGTAAAAACTCAGTGGACTGTTTTGATAATGGTGAGTTGTGTAAAAAAACAGTTGTTAAATTAAGTGCGGGTGAGATCAATATGAAAGAAAAGGGAAATGATAAAATTGTAATGCTAAATGATAAAAAGTTTGAAAGATATGGGACTTATAATTTCTTCATAGGCTTCTAGTTCTTGCTCCACCAAAGTAAAAGTCACAGATGATGAATTTTTTGATGGATATGGTTTTGCAAGAAAGACAACCGGACATCCAAGAAATGATCCTACAATAAATGAAAAGGCCTTGGCTTTGCAGCAAGTGCTTGACAAATCAATGTACATTTATGTAGTTTAAATTAAAACAAAAATGTTTAAAGTGTGTATCTTTTCATTATTCTTGACTTCAGTCAACTTTTTAAGCTTCTATTGTGAAAGGTAAGCTGCTTTGGACAAAACCAAATTCGTCTCCTACAGCATCTGACTTGCTGCTGGGCCCTGTCTTCTCCACAGCCCCTGCCAGCGACTCTTACGGGCAAAACGCAGAGGCTCGTTTCTTTTTTCTCCTACCTATGCAAAACTACAGCACAAGGAAACAATGGGGGAAAATTAATTCTGGCCCAAACTTTTAATCCTGTTTTTTCCCTATTGTCTTATTTTTCTCTCCCTCTTCTCAACATAGCTGTGAGCATGTTTTTCAGGAACACACAAACACAGAGAAATCCTCTGCTTATTTTGGGGGAGTAGGGTGGGTAGGGGATGAAATGAGGATTTTGAAGTGAGGAGTGAATTAGTTTCTTCATCTACATAGAAGTCACTAATGAATGAAGACTCTAATGGGGTACCAATCAGTCCCACGGGGTGACTCATCGCACTCCGTAGGTGCCCCACCTGCTGGAGTTGTGGGAAGACTTCAGGTACTTGGCAGAGATGATATTTAGGGAGAGGATGGCGTCAACCGCAGCTTCATCCACCTCAGCCTTATTCCTAATCCGCCCTAAAAGAAATAAAGACACCAGAGCATGGGAGTATTTTAAAAAGCAAGCATCTCTTCTGTTTTATGTAATAATATTCCACATAAAAATCAATTTGAAAAAGCTGGACAACCACTGTCCCAGACAAGAGAGTATAATCTTCCTTCCACGGTTTCTTAATCTCGTCCACAGACACCGAAGGGGAGGGTCTATGACTAGAATTCAAAATGTCCATGAACTTGACAAGGAAAAAAGTTACGATTTTATTTTCATGAGCCTCTAACTGAAATTCGGCGTTTTCTTCCATTATGAAGGGAGGGAACAAACCACAGGAGAATCAGCAGTACTATGAATTCATCCCCAGCAGAAACCACAGATGTTTTCATATCACACTAATGTAAAATATCTAGATAGGCATCACTACTTTGAAATAGAAATTCAACCTGCTGCTTATTTAATGTATCAATAAAGAAGAGCTTAGGTTACACATTTGTTTAGTAGTTTAACAATTGTATTTCAATATTATATAGTTCCCCTTGTAATCCCAAGTACTTTCTACATTTAAAAACCTAATTCTGAGACTTCACTACTGCCAATGGGTTTAAGGCAACAGAAGGCTCAGAACCCCTGCCACATATTCAGAAGTTTATACTATTTAGCCAGTTTTTCCCTCTCATTACACCTTAATTTCTCTACTCTGCCTATGGGTGCTAGCCATTTGCATATTACACATATTCCAGACGATCTTACTTAAAATGTTTCCTTGTGTGGAAAACAGAACAAAGCCCCTCTAATCGCTCCGGAACCTATTCCAATCCTCTCCCACAAAGCTAACCCCGTCCTCTCAGATTCTTGTGTTGTGAACTCTCTTAGCACAGTCTGTTCTCATTTTGGCACTTATTTATCAAATTGCTTTGTATATTTATATGTTGTCTCGTCAAGTGAAGGGCAAGGTCACAACGAGCAGAGACTTCTAACACAGAACGATTCCACCGTACCCGAGTAAAATAATGGCTGAATCATGTATCCCTGATGGTGGAGCTGAGAGAAAGAGTAGCTTCAGGGTCAAGGCCTCTGCATTCTCCACGGGCCACATGCTCTAGTCCAGTCTCCCACACAGTCCCTGTGCCCACCAGAACCATGTGATCTCCACAAAGCCAGGCTCCGTCCTCAGCCAATGGAATGTACTCACCTACCACCAGCTCACGAACATCTTTCCAATGGAGCTCGCTTCCCTTCTCATGGACGATGGTCATTGTGATCCTTCGTTGGATGCCCTAGAGAATGGAGCAGGGCTGTGATTTAGCTGGGACAAACTATTATTTCCTCCTATTTCTGGTTTTCTGGATTGTTTGGTGTGGCAGAGGGCAGGAAGGAGAGGTATGAAGAATGGAAATGTTATCCACACTGTTACTCTAAACATTGGGGCAAAGGTCAGGGACCCAGGAAGAGTCAGGTTCTGATATGGCTTTAAGAATAGATGCTTAGACCTAGCCAGTTTGGCTCAGTGGTTGTCTCTCTCTTTTAAAAAAATATATTTTTATTGATTTCAGAGAGGAAGAGAGAGAAACATCAATGATGACAAAGAATCATTGAATAATTGCCTCCTGCATGCCCCCTATTGGGGATTGAGACCGCAACCTAGGCATGTGCTCTTGATCGAAATCAAACTTGGGACCTTTTAGTCCGCAGGCCGATGCTCTATCCACTGAGCCAAACCAGCTAGGGCAATGATTCTCTCTCATCACTGATGTTTCTATCTCTCTTGCCCTCTCCCTTCCTCTCTGAAATCAATAAAAATAAATATACATATTAAAAAAAAGAATGAATGCTTAGAATGTATGTCCCTAAGTATGAGATTCCCAGCTCCTCTGCCCACAGGTGTCAACCTACATTTCACGGCCAGATTTTTCGCTCACTGAAACCTTTATCCTCTATCTCCATTAAGATCTTTTGGCTGTGAAAGCAGTTCCCAAACATCACAAAATGAAAATTTTATAAAATGACATTGAAGCTACATGAATTATAGTAATTGAATGAAGCAAAATCTTTTACCAAAATAGCTCTTCTCTAATATATTTATTTATTTACTAGAGGCCTGGTGCACGAATTTGTGCACGGGTGGGGTCCAGCTGGCCTGCCCGATCGGGGCCAATTGAGCCGGGCCAGCTGGAGGGAGGGGATGCGGGAGGTTGGCAGGCCAGCCTGCCCCCGATCGGGGTGGGGGAGGCCGATTGGGAGCGGGGGTTGCAGGGGGAGAGGCTGCAGGCAGTTGGTGGGCTGACCCCACCCCCTGGTAGAACTCCTGGTCAAGGGAACAATTTGCATATTAGCCTTTTACTATATAGGACGAGAGGCCTGATGCACGAAGATTCGTGCAAGAATGGGCCTTCCTTCCCCTGGCTGCCGGCACTGCCTTTGCTCAGGCCAGAGCCACCTTTCTGCCTTCCCACGCTGCCCAGAGGCCCTGAGCAGCTGGGGCGGTGCGGAACGCCTGTGTAGTCGCCATGGTAATGATGCAAGCGTCCCGCCCCGCCCCGCCTCTGGCCGCTCGGCGCCTGTGTATGCAAATTAACCCACCATCTTTGTTGGGTTAATTTGCATACCCACTCCTGATTGGCTGGGGGTGTCACGAAGGTATGGTCAATTTGCATCTTTCTCTTTTATTAGTGTAGATTATTTTTTTAAAATATATTTTTATTTTTATTTATTTCAGAGAGTAAGGGAGAAGGAGAGAGAGACAGAAACATCAATGATGAGAAAGAATCACTGATCGGCTGCCTCCTGCACACCCCCTACTGGGGATCAAGCCTGCAACCCAGGCATGTGCCCTTGATCGGAATCAAACCTGGGACCTATCAGTCCGCAGGCCAACACTCTATCCTCTGAGTCAAACTGGCTAGAGCTGTATAATATATTTATATGTAAAAGCAAGAGTATACATATATAAGCCAAAGTCTGTGGAAGAAATTAAAAACAAGCATATTAAAAAGGAAAATAAAAAAGAACAGGACAATGTCCCACTACCTCCACATCCCTTAGAAATGGAGAGGAAAAGCAGAAAATCAGAGTTATAGTTCTTATTCTAAACTTTTGTGTGTGTGTGTGTTTCCTCCTAGGTCTCTTTTGCTCCCTCATTAGTACCTGGTGAAGCAAAAATGTCCCTTGGCAGGGCAAGCCTGCTGTATGGTCCACCACAGCTGGGATATACCTGTAACAACAGAAATGCAAGGAAAAGAGTGAGACAGACGCTCAAGCTGACTAGTGCTACTTCACCACAGGTCTTCCCTGGCTGCTGTCCCCCGCTGGTTTTTGCTTTTCTAAACTCCGATCCATGTTTTTGTCACCATTCAGGCATTTAATCACACGGTCATTCACATCCAGTAAATGTTTCCACATGTCTATATCTCTTCATCCTTACTAGACTTAAGTGCTCACAAGACAGTAATGTCTTTTGGCTCCATCCCAGTCCCTTGCATAACAGATACCCATAAATAATGCATATTACAATAGGGAGTACAAGGAGACAGGAGATCATTTAGATTCTACATCATGTTATAAGAATCAGAAAGAAATTAACGGTAGAAAGCATGACTGTAACTACCTCTCCCTCATAATGCAAACCATAATCACATGATGGATCTGTCTATAGGAAGTCACATTCCTTAAAGCGATGTCTCTACTGACAACTACACACAGGATCGACAGCTGCAGACCTCACACACAGTGGGGACTCAGTAACTGTTTCACAGAGATGAGCGTGATGGTGGTGGTACTTAGCATTATACACAGAGGCTCATCAGGATAACATTCATCCCCTACCCTCTACATTAGCTAACACAGCCCCTTGCCTCTATTTCAGGAGGGGGATCTTTTTTGTGTGTTTTTCCAAGAGCATTTTAGAGAAAACGATAACTGATATTTACCACTTGCTCTAATATCGCTCATACAGAGAAAGTAGGCTGATGCTGATCATTTTGATCTAGGACAATGGTCCTCAACTGGGGATGTTTTGGTCCCCCAGGGATGTTTGGCAATGTGCTACTGGCATATAGTGGGTAGAAGCCAGGGTTGTGGCTAAATATCCTACAACACACAGGACAGCCCCTGACACCAGAGAATTAACTGGCCCCAAATAATGGCACGGTTGAGAAATCCTGGTTTAGGGAAACACCGTCCCCCACCTTCTCACTGAGATTATTAATGCAAGTCTTGACCATATTATGAGCAAAATGCTTCTCTCTTTGCTGCTGATTAAACTCACTATGTAGGTTGTCTTCCCTCCTAACAAAGTGGCAGGCGCCATGACCTTGCTGTTGCTAATCAGAAGGCAAATTATTACACTAAGTAGTCATTTCTCTGACAAACGTTTGATTCAAAGAATAATGGCAAGACCACCAACATTCAATTCAAAACTGGAATTTGAAAGTGACAATGAATCATGAACAAGAATAGAGGCTCAAAATTACATTTTCTAATTTTGAAAAACTTGACCTTATTTAAAAGTTTAGAAAGTTGGACTTACTCTCCTGTAGGCTCCAATTCACTGATCTCAAACCAAACCAGAAGATCATACTTGCTCATGCTCTGGCCAAGGCTGGTTTTGCTCATGGTGTTTAACTTGGTGGCTGGAACTTTTAAAAAAGTTTTAGAAAAAGTCAAAATCTGATCCAAGTCTACTTAGTAAAGTATAAGCTTCTCTAATGTCAGACTTCAAGGACACACTTGGGAAAGGCAACGAGAGTCAGGGGATAGATTTCAATGCGGAAGACCCAGAGAAACGCCAACATCAACTATGTCAGGACCTCTAAATTCAGAGAACAAGAAAAGGGAGGGTCAGTATTTTTCTCCCTTTCAACAAATTATCCAACGATAAGAAAATAAGTTTCGTCCGGGCTGGTCATTCAGTGGTAAAACATTGGCCCTCAGACTGAAGGGTCAAAGGTTAGATTCTCCGTCAAGGGCATGTACCTTGGTTGCAGGTTTAATCCCTGCCCCAGTAGGGGCACGAGTAGGAGGCACCAATTGATACTTCTCTCTCACAAAGACGCTTGCACTTTGTGGCATGCGGAGCAGTAGCATCATGGGAGACAGACCTATCCTCCAACCCAGTGGTTCCTGAACCTCCCTGCCCATGAGAGTCACCCGGGGTTCTCAAACATGCAGAGCCCAGGCACCCCAGGCCAATTAAACCACAATCTCTTGGGGTGGGACCCAGTCCTCTGAGAGGTTTGAAACTCCCCAGGTGATTCCAATATGCAGACAAGTTTGGGAAGCACTGGTCTGATCTCTAAACAGGATTCTGTAAATCTCTTGTTATACATTTTCTTCAGATTTAAATTCCATATTCTTAACTGAACTGATTAAATACATTAATCAAAACCCAGTATTTCCAAGAATTTTAGATTCTACATAATGGGCATTTTGAAACACTGTGTAGAAACTCTAAACTCTGGCAATACAAAGAGAGTTCTCTGCTCAGAACATGGGAGCACTGGAGTGAGAGTCCAGTGACTGGGGATCGAATCATTGCCCAACCATTAAAGAGCCATGTAGCTTTGGCTGAGTCACTTAATCTCTATGAGTCTGTCTCCTCTTCTATAAAATGTAGATCATAATATTTCGCCTGCTATCTCAGAAAGGTATTATGAGGATCCACGACAATGTATCTGAAGAGGCTTTCTGAGTAACACAGCGCTATTCATACGTGTAGCCTGTCAGCATTGCCCACCCCGCTGACTCCCATATGAATTGGTAACGCTAGTCAAGAGGAAAGTAGGGTTAATGATTCTGACAGTCATCTAAGGGTCAGGAAGCAAAACCAGAAGCATTAAAAACCAAAACCAAAAACATGTACTAGTAAAAATCTTTAAAAATACTATTGCAAAGACACCAAACAAACAAATATAAGGAGCCCTCACCCCCAGGGTGGAGTGAAAGAGGCACAGGTAGACAGGGTGCTTCCTGAAATCTCTCTAAGCAAATGTGACAGGATCTCGTCAATGTGCTCAACTCTGCAGTCAGTTCAAGTAGCAGAGAGGTCTGTTTCACACAGAAAGCCAGGCTATGGGACACACCCCTGAGGTTATACATCTAAGGCAGAGCTAATTTACCTACTAACCATCTCGTTTAGGTACCCTCTCGCTCTGGCAGCTGGGAACTGGCAGAAAGAGAAAAGGCGGCGGGGGGTCCGCCCCATCCTGGAAGGTGGCAGCAGCGGAGGATGCAAGCACACTGGCGTGCTCAGAAAATGTGTCCAACGCATGCACATTCACATAGCCAGACACGAGAAATCGAATCAGCTCAATCTTTCTCTCAGGGTCTGAAGGCAGGATGGAGATGAGGAGGACAGAGGTGGAGAATGAGCACAGGGAGGGATGGGAATGTGGGCAATGAGGAAAAGAATGAAAATAAACAAAGAAAAATCAAAACATGATAAATGAACATGCAGGATAAATTTAGTATGCAAAACAACGCCCAGCCCCTTGACAGTTATGGGGAGTTACATACAAAGTGGAGAGATCTGGAAACGGAGCTTATGAAAATTGACAATAAGACCAGAGAACTGGCAGGAATGGAGTCCTATTGTTTCTTACTGCTTATTTTAAGTCAGGAGCCAAGAATTCCACTTCTGGCTAGATACAAGAATGTGTAAGGATACATAGAAAAGGAGCAGGAATTTGAATATGATTTTTGTTGGAGGAGTCATTCAGAGTAAGAGATGTATTCACACACAGAACATCATGCAAAGCACGCAGCTAGCGCTCACCTGGCTTGGAGAGTGGCATGGGCGGAGGGAAGAATCGTCGAGATGGCTGAGGAGGACTGTGAAGGAAGGAAGACCAAGTTCTTAAGAAAAAGAGTCCCATGGAGCCAATAATGGCATGTTTAAGTGCCCTCTACACACAGATGGTTTGTACTTTCAACTCTAGCATAGTATCAGATACCAGACATAACTCCAGAGTATAACTGAGGCTAAGACATTTTAATAAAAGTCCCCTTCTAAGTCTTAGCTAATAAATGAAGTAGGAAAGTTGTTCTGTTAACACTAACACTCTGCCATCATCCCAAAGTCCCCACCGTTGCTCTCCTCACCAATTTTGATGTCTCCACTTAGAACTTATGCTTCATAAAGTTCTGGGCCTTTAGGAGCAATTATACACAATTTCATGGTATAGCCCTGTCACTTCAACTTTCGGTCCTATTCAAAGTCTCTTCCTACAAAAAGATGGTACTCAAGGCCACCTGGGCAAAATTCAATGTGCTCTACCTACAACTAGTGATTAGGTGGCGTAGAAAAAAAGGTGGTGACGTTTCCAAAGAGAAAACATCGAGTAACATAAAACTGTTATTTAGTTATCTTAATCCCTCAAAAGATTTCCTCCTTTCCAGCAAGTGACAATAACAACGATAATAATATCAACAAAAATATTTGCTCATCTGGCCCAAACCTGTTAAGATCCTGTCCTTGCAGGTGAAGTGGGTGCTGTTGATAATGCCCGAAGACTTCAAATACTATAGGCTTGGTTTTGATGTATTCCACAAATGATTCAGTGACTTCCACTGCAATCTAGTAAGGAATAAAGCCAAATTAGATTAAGGAAAGATTTATTATAATTCGAGGCATTTTTGCTGCAATCAGAACTTGAGCACTTTTGAGCTGGGTATGTGCTGGGTATTTGACTCTGCCCGCCTCCCACAAGATAAGCTAGGGGCTCCTCTCTGGTTTTCATTCTGGGGTAACTTTACTGAGCTTCAGGCATTTGAGACCCTCCACCATCTGCCTGAACCGATCTCTGCCCCCGGCTGCTCTCCATACATTTGTTTCCACTTAATCAGACTCACCCACTCTCTCCTCTGTTTCGCCCTTAGATGGCCCAGGCTGCAGTCCTGCCTGCAAGGCCTTCCACACCTCCATACCTCTAAGTCATTCCTAGACTTCAAGGCTCAGCTCAAACAGTAACAACAATAAGGGAAACAGGGCTGTTCACCAGGTGCCAAGTACAATGCCAAGTCTGACCCACCTTTCCTTATTTATACTATATTCTCCAAGAAGTGCCCTCACCTCCTTTCCATACCCAACTATCCCCCCGCAACAAAAAAAGTAACTCAAAGTATCATGGAAATAACTTCCCCTTCTCTCGAGTCCCACTGCATTTCATAACTATCTTTCTAATGTCTCTAGATCTTGTTACTTAAATAAGCATTTATTTCCCTATCGGAATTGTGAGCTCTTCAGGAATAATCTGTGATTCACCTGTGCATTCCCCAGGGTGCCAGGCACAGTCCTTGTGCGCAGTAGCCAATGTTTATTGGATACATGCATGCTCATATTTATACAATTAAACATAAAAAAGAAAATAGTGTTTTGTGTTTGCTTGTTCCACTTCTGGAGTTGTCGTTTCCCCTCGTACTTTAGAGAGTAGATATGTCAACAAGATGATGAGACCGTCTCATGTAGTAGTGAAGACCCTGGAGCCAGAGCAACATTTCTGTGCCTTCAAACCCCGCCTCCACCTCTTCCTAGCTTTGCAACCTGGGTGAGTGGCTTTAACTGCTCTGTGCCTCAGTTATCACAGCTGTAACATGGGGATTACGACCAACTATGGCATAAATGTGAGGATTAGATGAATTAAGACATGAAAAAGCACTCTTAACAGAAACTGACACAAAATAAGCTCTCGGGGAGTGTTGGCTATAGTGATGAGGATGATGCCTTGTGAATAGAGTTATAGTGAATCTTCCTAGAGGAGATGGAAGGTCTATTTTCTTACTCCACTTATGAAAGAGCTGTAAGGAGCATTAATGGATCATCATAGTATCAATTGCAAGGAAGACAATCTGAATCTTAGTTACAAAGGTACTGAATAGTTTTTATCTTACTTGCAACTGAACAATATAAGTATCTTACAGTTTAAAGGACAATAAATATATTAACTTTAACAAAACTCATACTAAAATGCTTACTTTCCTATGAAGGAAACACTAAAAACAACTCACTACATTCCAAGTGATGGAAAATTTTATTGGCAGATGAACCTGGACAGGATTCGCGGGGCCCTCGGTAATTCACAGGCCAGCTGCTCTGTCCTGGAGGATGAGCTCAATACTCTGGCCACTCCCTCCATTGTCTATTCCCCCACAGATTCCCTCGCACAGCCGCTCTGAGAAAGCCCAAGGGAGCCCACACATGACTGCCTCACACCAGCCACTTCAAGGTACCACAAACCCACAATACATCTGGCAACATAGTCCATGTCACTTACATTCTGCACATGATAAAAGCCCAGAGGACTTCCTCTGCCGTTATTTTTGAGGGGTTCAGTGGAGAATGCTTCATCATGGCGATGCAAAAAGCTTAATGGGAAAATAAGGAGGAGAATGTTTCATTAAATGGTTTCATCAGGATCTATGTGGTAACAGCTCGACTTGGATGGTATGGAAACTGCCTACTTAAGCAGAGTTTTTAATTGAGCAAGTTATTTACATATCCTTGTCAAAACATTTTCCTTATCACTCAGATAGTATTTTACACTTTATTTCAAAAATGATTGAAAATTACCTGACCCTGATCACTTAGCTATGTGGACGTATATGCAAGAATGCCTTAGAGAGTGTGAAGAGTGAATTCAGTGAACTCCTGTTCCTTTGTGGTTTTTCACTGAGAATAAAAATTATTAAGTTGTTTTGTGTAGACAAGATTTGGCAGGTTCAAGCTTCTACAAGGTAGTACTACAGCCTGTGGATGGCGTACTTGACTAGGAGTCTCTCTCAGACCAGCTATGAGTAGATGCAAATGCCACCTCTTGCAAAGAGTCTGTCCTGACTCAGGGAAATAGTTCTGTGTCCCCACAGCACTAGGAATGTATTTTCTCAATAGTGATGATTTCACTGTTTGTAATAATGTATTTATATGCCTGTCTCCCCAAAAGACAGTGTCTCCCACAGGGCTTGAGATATATAAGATACTCCTGAAAGATTTGTTGAATCAGTGGGCTATGTTTATTTGTTCTCACAAATAGTGAGGTTTTATTGTTCTCTTTCCCTCCCTATTATAAGTCTGAAATAAAAATCGAAGAATTAAAGCATCCTCAATACAAGGATTTAGTGCCAGATAGAAATATGCATCAAAAGGACATCCCACATTGCTCTAGCAGGTTTGGTTCAGAGAATAGGGAGTCGACCCGTGGACTGAAGGGTTCGAGGTTCAATTCCGGTCAAGGGCACGAACCTCGGTTGCAGGCTCGATCCCCGGCCTTGGTGGGGGCTTGTGTGGGAGGCAACCAGTTGATGTGTCTCTCTCACATTGATATTTCTCTCCTCTATCTTATGTCATCCCTTCCACTCTCTCTAAAAATCAATGGAAAAATATCCTTGGGTGAGGATTAAAGAAAAAAGAACATCTCACACTCTCCCAAGAAAAAAGGGAAAAAGAATGCTTTGAATAGGGGGTAGAGAGAGGACAAGGAATTCCTTGCCTTCCACATTAGTTCACTGAGCCTGAGGACTATACATGGTACCCACCAGAGGTGGGATCTCTGATATGTACTCGTCCAATGCTCTGCTTAGAGCAGGTGAAACCATGGGTGACAGGTGAAGTCTACAGCTGTGTCTTCCCTATGCAGGCCAAGTGAGAATTTATAGAAACCCAAAAAGGATCTGCGTCTTCTCTCAACTTGAGTCAACCTGCCCTTTCCCCCAGAGCTAACGCCAGCGCACATGCTGCTCTTTTTAGTAGGTTTTAGGACAAAAGTCAACATACCACTGTCATTCAGACATCAGTTAACCAAGTAGGTTTTTTCCATAAAATACATCAGTTGCTTAACTAGAATAGTGAAAGTTCAAAAAAACTGATTTAAGGCTCTTAGTGCAAATATGTTAAATGGGCAAAACCAATACCAGATGGATAATATTTTAACGATTATTAGTGGCTGACTATGTAGTAACCACATTTAATTCAGGACTTGGCTAAATGCGATGTAAAAGCAATGCTTTATAACTGCATCAGGACCCCTGGGAAGGCCACATAATGAGGGAGTGGGATGGCAGACTCTGAGGCGGCCTTTTGGTGGCACCCGTGGCAAACTGGGCTTCATTCTTGTGTGGCCCTTCCACATACTGCAAAGATACGTTGATGCTTGGGGGTATTAAAACTTAAGATTCTCAAAAAAAGCGTTTTCCTAGGTAGGTCGTGAGAAGAGAGCACCTATAATATAGAGTCAAGAGGATTACAGGATAGAAAAAGCTTATAAGTGGAAGAGAAATGAAACCTGTCACATCATCTCTACATACTACCTTTTTTTTAAATTGATGTAAAATATTACTGTTCATTATGTTATTTAAATTTTCGTTTCCCCAAGTATTATTAGGCATAATTGGCGACTAAATAATTCATTGCTTTAAGGGAGGGACAGAGGAAGAGAGAGAGGGAGGGAGGGAGAGAAAGGAGAGAGGGGAAAATTAAAGTGAGAGAGACACATTTATTGGTTGCCTTCCACATGCACCCCGACCATGGGCAGGGATCGAACCTGCAACCCGGATATGTGCTCTTGACCAGGAATAGAACCTGTGACTCTCTGGTCCACAGGCCAATGCTCTAACCACTGAGCAATGTGGGCCAGGGTGAGATTTGTTTATTAATACCACATTTCAGCATGAAGAGCATTAAAAAGACTAATAAATAGGTGTGTCTGGACCAGACCCTATATTCCTAGCAGAGAGCGATGGTCCACAATATAACCTTTTAGCAGGAGGCATGGCCACACCCCACCCCACAATGTACTCTGTTTCCTTCCATTGTAGGTTTCTGGTTCTTACTCCCATCTTGAGGGAAGAAAGCATTTTATTTCAGAGACTGGTAGTCGTCATTTCTCAGGAGTGTTAGGGTCTCACAAATGTAAAGCAGTCTACAGAGCACAAAGGACGGCATCCGGGAGGACAGCTGGGTAGGCAGAGCGAAGGGACGGCTTACTTGAACTGACAGAAGATATCTGCATACTCTGGGAGGATCCCACTGGCCTGCAGCACTGTCACACGGAAAGTGAAGGCACTGCCCAGTTTCAGGTGGTTGCCAATCTCTTCAGAAAACCCTTCCATGACCATCTTCCCATCCAGCAAAGTGCTTGACTTCAGATCTAAAGAGGATCAAACGAACACACACCTGGTTCAAACAATGCACAGATCACCCTTCAGTGAGGAGAGAGCAGGGCATTCTTTCCATTCCTAGTGAATGAAAGTGATTATCTCATCGGTCAATGCAATGGTCAATATGTTTCCCTCTTTGAAAATGTTCCCCATCACAGTACACTGTGTCTACGCACCCAAGTCATTCATTCGATTGATTTCTTCTGGAGGACTGATGACCTCAGAACTCTGACCCTGTCCTTCCACAATCCTCAGCTCTTCCAAGGACAGACCAGAACGAGTCATTGCAACGGAAGGAAAGTCACTCTGAAATCAAGGCAGGGGGAGGTAGATGAAGTAGTATAATAACACATTTCCCCCAGTTTCCTTTCTTTTGTTTATTTGCCTAATGACTAATAGTGACTGTAAAATTATATGGATTAAGAGCTGCCTTACAAATGGCAAAATAAATATTGGGCCTTTACCCTTACTGTTGTAATCCTTAGACATGTCCCATATCCTATTAAACACCCTGTGGTTACCTATACTTTTTAGTTGTAGGTAAAAGAATTGTTGTCCCCCAGTGCTGAACATCCTTTTTATAAACCTGAGTACTTCTCCTTCCATTAGATTTTTCCTCTTCCTGGAAGGTTTCTCACCTGATTAAAGTACTCGTTATCAAAAGATATTTTAGCTGTTCCTGACTGTCGAATTCCAGAGCCATAATCAGGAGCTTCTTCATCCGCTAGGTAGGGAAAAAAAAAAAAGAGAGAGAGAGAAAAGCAAAGATCAAATGAGACTACATATGAGGCAGAGGGGGGACGACTCTTACTGGATTATAAAATAAATAATGAAGTAGTGGAGCCTTAGGTTCCGAGAACTTTGATATAAGAGGAGACACCAAAGGACAAGTCCTTTTGTTTAAGAAAGAGAAAATAAGACCTAAGCAATAAAGTCACAAGGGCTGCTTCCAACTCTACTCAGGTAACCTTACCAACTCCCTTAGCTCAAATGAGCAAAGAATCAGTTTTATTCTTGATATTGTTCAGATGCCGTATCTAAAATACTGATCTCTTCACTTGGCAAGGTTATATTCAATAATACTCAATAAATATTTCAAAATACTAGACTGTACTTGTGAAGACTTCCCTAAACTCAACAATGGTGAATATGTCACAGATTTCCATGGGTAAAGGTGAAAGGTCACAGCATAGCATTTAGAAATTACAACAGAAAAATTATAATAAATGGCCACATTCGTCCTCAGAATGGAGGCTGGATCATGGAGAAGCCTAAGTGACCGGCTGACTGGCCCACCACCAGGGGGCACACGCTCAACGTAGAAGCTGTTGAGCTGTGGTGACTTGGCAGCTGTGGGTCTTGGGTGATGCACCCGGAACCAGAGAGGAGGGAGCCTGATTCTGGGGTGCATCACCTGAGATCCGCCCTCTCACTCCGGGACCCCTCGGGGGATGTTGGAGCCAGTTTCAGCCTGATCCCCGCAGGCCAGGCCGAGGGACTCCACGAATCCATGCACGGGGCCTCTAGTTACAAAATAATAGCTAAGGGACAGAAAGGCCTAGAAGTACCCTTAGAGAAAATTAGACAAAAAAAGTACTGAAAGTCCTTAGTTACTTCTCAGGCAGTTAATACACATTATTTAAAATGCAAGTGACTTTTATAAAGTTAACCCAAGAATTGTCTTTCACGTTAAAGGAAATCCCTTTATCCCATTATTCTAAAATAGCAGTAGCCCAGACTAAAGAGAACCTATTTTTGATACTTAGTAACAACAGTTAGAAAGGAAGCAATAAAGGCTTTCTCCAAGACAGACAAACGCACTGCAGTCTGTACGTGCAGCTGCAGTGTGACCCTGCAGAACTGGCCTCTCTGTCTCCAAGCAGAGTCCACAGCTCTGTTTCAGAAGAGGGTCACCTACCTGCAATGGCCTGGACAGCCACACGCAGAAATCCCCGCACTTCACCCTTCTCACTGACAATGGCCACCCTGTGGATCAGGGGCACGGGATACAGCAGATTGCTCAGGTATACAAATGCCCTAGAGATAGAAACCGGGAGACACAGCTGAGCATCCCACCGACAGAGAAGCTGGCTGTCAGATTTATCGAAAATACCTTTATGAAACTGAGCTGGCTTTTAGGCTCTGTCTGAAGGTTACCTCTCTCTCTGCTCTGTATTCTCAGACTACTTCCAATTCTTTCTTAGCGCAGATAATATATAAACCAATGCAAATGCTTGGTAACAGCTGACAGAGACCAATTTACACCAAATGAATCACGCCCTATAAAAATTACTACTGTAGGTAGAAGAGTAACAATTGGAAGCAGACTTTCAAGATACTGGTCTATAAATAGTGCTAAGGGTGGGGAAAAGGGAGCCCATTAAAGAGCGTAACCTTTTAATGTAAGAAATTATAAAGAGGTTGGTTTTGTTTTTCTCAATAGATAAAACAGAAATCAGGAGACGAAAAAGGCCAAAGAATGTGACTGAAATATAGTTAATAGGTCTAAAATAGATTTCAAGTCACAGTGTTATGGGTCTTTATTTTACTCTAAGAAATGACTATTATCTTTAGGCTGGGTTACAACACATATGGGTGGAAAGGCTATGTAGCAGAAGTTTTTGAGTAGCCAGTTTATAGGAAACTCTGGATGGGAATGAAGATAAATGCCCAGGGAGAAGGCAGCTAAAGGTTGCTTTTTTACTCCTAGGTCCAAAACCTAATTCAGAAATGCATATACAAAGGTAAGTTACAGACCTAACATTTTCTACTTCAAAGAAACTGGCAAAGTCTGATCACATTTGTATTCTTTTTCCTTCTTTCATCATTTTGAGACTATTGATTTTTTTTTAAGTAATAAAAACTGGTGACCACAAAACTTGAGAGTGTTTATTCCCATTAGTGAATGGAAAATAGCATCTAGTTCCTACTGTTACTCCTGCCTTCCCACTTGGTACATGCTGATCTTTGAACACAAGACAAGACAAAGAGTAAACATTTGCATCAAGAAATCAAACATAACTAATGTGACACATATGTCTGCTTGCTTTTATTTCTGCTCTGAAAAATCTACTTTAAGACAAAGAGAAAAGGAAGATGAGTGGATGTGTGGGATTTCAACTCAAAGTAATGAAACAATTCTGAAAATAGAAAAAATACACCACAGAAAAACAAATGTTAAAACTTTAAGAGCATAAATGAAATATGAATGAAAAGTATAACAAAATAACAACAAATGAACATTAAATCAGGTCAAATGATGTCTACTTCCCTTTCAGTCTGCTCCAAAGGTGGGGGAGGGCAATGCTAAGAAACAGAGGGTTAAAGCTTTGTTGCACAAAAAATTAAAAACTGAAAAGTCTTCTTAAAAAATTACAAACAAGACTCTCAAACATCAACTACTGTGATAGAATTTAAAGACTAAGAATTTGGCATAAGGTACCATATGGATAATTTCACTTCCAAAGTCAGTATACAGACAAGATGACACTCATTTCTTAATGGCATTCCAGCCAGACGTGCCCACTTTCAAAGCCTTGGCCATAAAGAACCATCGCACATGTTCATCTCCTGCCTTTAATTCCACATCTTAAGGTCTTATCCCAAATACCAATCTCTCATGATAGGTCCCCCCAATGTTATATGATCTCAGTAACACATGAGTCCAGCACTGCTTAGGATTTACATTTCTTTCTGTATGTGATTATTTAATTTGTCTGTCTCATCCACCAGACTGTAAACCCATTAGGGTAGGAACCATGTCTGGTCTTGCTAGCCACTGGTGGGTGATCGAACATCTAAATATAGTATAAGTAAATGGGAAAAAGGAATTGTCCTCTGTCTTTAAGTACAGGTAGAAGATTTTCCAGAAAAATGGTTTCCACCAGAGATAGAGAAGCAAAGCCATCCAACTTTATACCAAGTTGATTTTTCCAAGCCTTACTCACAATGAACACTGACTACATAGAACATGTTTAGATTCTTAACTCTACTTAACTTGTATGGTTATCTTTTTATACTTAAAAATAGCTACTCAAAACCAGGAACTCCTGTTTTTAATTTTAAAAAAGCTTACCACTTGAAGGCACAGCATATCATGTTCACACATGCACATTACATAAAGTACGGTTTGAGTACACATGAAACACAAGACTCTCCTTTCTTCCTATGGCAAAGGCTATCCCAAATGTGGAAGAATGGAAGTATTGTTATAGATGTCTCCTTTTAGAGAAGAGAAATCTTTAATTCTATGTGAGTGGCAGTCAGTATCAATGCTGTATAAAAACTCAATGGATATTTTGAACTGGTATTTTAATAATTACTCCATATTCTTGAGAGTCCTTATACTCTGACCTAGCAGACTGAAGGAGAACAGGGATGAAAGAGGAAAAGATATAAAAGATATATGAGCAGAAAGTTCTGTGAAGTTATATCAAAAAGGGAAACAAATTTTGTCAACATAAAGATAAGAAAAATCAACATGATTATGGTTCTGGTTACAGAAAGAATGTCAATTCAGATAATGAGATCACAGAATAACCATCCTTTGCTCCCTTTTAACCCAGAAAAGTAGCTTAAATATTTTACATGTCATCCCAAATTATGATGGATGGTTCATAATATCCAAGCATGCCATAAGAGAATAGCTAAAGGGACAAGCTCTTTTTATTTTCATATAAAAATTTACTGGAGGCAGCCAAAGAACAAAACTTACAAATGGAATTTTCACAAGAAACTGGAAATTTTTACAAGTGAATTGTATTTGCAATTACATGCCAATAGATAAACCCAATCCTGTGAGTCAAGAACAGGAAAGAAGTTACTCCCCATGCATGCACAATGACCATTCTATAACTAGGGGATGTTGCACTATTATAAATTGTTTGCAGATGAAAAATGCAGGCAAGAGTGAAAATAAAGAACTATCCTTCACTTTACTGACTGCTGTGATTTCACTTCCTCCTCTAACCTCTTTCTTGCAGGCCAAAGTTAGTTTTAGAACCTGGGAACCCAAACAAATGGAAAGGTCAATTCCTGAGTCATAGCTCCATAAAGATTCCATTTGAAAATCAAAGTAGAGTTCATTGCTTTCTATCTTCACTTAAATCTGATATGATTAAAATGAATAAAACTATAGAAAAATAATACATATATCTTAAGCCAGTAAATTTCACATTAAATGGGCTTGTGACTTGAGTTTTCTAAACAATTGACTCACAATACAAATGCTTTTGGGTAGCACTCTTAGCCAGGATTTTGCCAGTGTGGATGGCAGAATCCGGAAGAGGAAAAAGGGCGTTAAGGCTCTTTTTTTCCTCCCTAACTCTTGGGCTCTGTGAGAATCCGACAGGCCTCAGTCTAGGTAGCCTGTCCCAAGTTAGGACCCAGGCTCCTCCTGACTATCAGGTCAGTGTTCTTCCCATCCTCACTGTGCGGTGGTGCAGAACTTAAGTGAGCAGAGTTAGAAGCTGAGCAACTGGCACCAGGACCAAGCCGTTTATGGACAGAAACTTGGTTCTGTCCAAACTTCTGACACTCTTAGTGCAGGATGGATACACGTAGCCATAAAGTAAAGAGAGCATCATGGTCCCGTTATTTGTATACAGAATGACCTTTCTCAATTGTAATATAAATGGGCTTCTCTGAAATTCTTAGCATCTATTCCTGGCAATACACCAGTAGAAAACAAGATTCATGGCTACATAATCCTTTATTCCTGGGTAAACTGAGTAAATGTCTCCTCACTACTGTTAACCCCTGAGGCTAATATTACTACCAACAGTCATAATTCAGACTTTCATTTCTATCAGAAAGCTTTCATTTTCCCTCTTTCCATAACAGGGATTATTTTCTACGTTATTTATTTAGCTCTCACCAACTAACCAACACCACACTATGAACTAAATGTTAGGACCTTATGTTTCTATTGGGTCAGGAGACTCACTACACTTTAATTTGTAGATAACTGGTGCTTATCCATTTAACACTGACATAATTCCCTTATTCTGAAAGGGTTTAACAATAGTGGTTCTAATCAACCATTAAAGTTAAATTTAATACCTTAAAACCTGGGCATGCTTTTTGGTTGATACAGTGCGTGCTGCTCTGTTGAATTTGTGATTAAAATTACTTCAGCATGAAGACTGGATAGAGACAAAGACACCAGTATTAGGAACAAGGGCAGGGGGCTCTGCATCACTGACAGATGGAGCCAGAGACAATGCCTCAGTTTGGTGAACTAAACTTAACACAAAGCAGTTTCATGTACTGGTGAACAAGTATCCATTGTTGATGGTGCCAATCGATAATTTTATGAGATTCATCATTACAAAGCCTATAGGTAAAAGTTTAGCAGAAGCCAAAGATTTATAGATAGGCTCAGTGAAACTGGCCAAAGAAAGGCATCTGTTTTAGATGAAAAGGAAACTTCGTGTTCTTGATTCTTTTTTGGACTCATAGACAAAGCAAAAAGTAAAACCTAATACTACTCCCGTTTCATTTTTGTCCTCTTTATTCCTGCTGATGCCACAAATCATTTAGCCTAACTTTGGGCTTTCTCTGCTCTCTTTCTCAAGCTGTCACCTATGCTTCCTTACTCACACTCCTACAAAAGGAAAATCTGGCAAAATACCATTCTTCAACCCTGTAACCTCTGACTCTTCGCTTTAATCACTTTCTCCTCCGGGGCTTCCTCCTTCACAGTATTACTGGGCAACTGAAGACAAGGGGTCCTCTAGGTAGAGCAGGGGTGGGGATTCTTTCTCCTGCCAGGGGCCATTCGGATATTTATAACATCATCCGAGGGCCATACACAATTATCAGCTTAAAAATGAGCCTGCTATATTTGGTCAAACATTTAATTAACTCACCCCTAATGCCTTGGCAGGGCCAGATCAAATGATTTCTTAGGCCTTATATGCCTGCTGCACCAAGTAGACCCAGTACCTTACAAACACTAGCCAGATCAGCATGTCATGAATTGAACTGGCTAAAGCAAGGTCATCCAGAATTGCACAAGGAGCCTGTTTAGAGCAAGAGCTGGTCCCTTTTGGCCTTTCTCACAGTAACCTCACCAACCTTCCCACTAAAATGAACCATGGGGATCGGTCGTAAAACGGGTCATGCCCGTCACTGAAGAGATCTGATCCCTCCTCCGTCCCTGCGTCAGAGCCGGTGTCATCCACGAATGCCTCATCATCAAAATCCTCCATCTCATCTTGCTGCTCGTCAGCCAGCTCAGTGATGTCGGAATCAGCCGTGGAAAAAGTGGGGGAGGGTGTGCGGTCGGCAAGGCGCTCATTCACACAGCCATGGAAAATGGGGGAGCTAGACACCAGGTAAGACGCGGATTGACACAGCCAAAGAGAGGAATAGTTGGTTAAACAGGAAGCCACAGGTGCCAACAGCACAGAACCCACTGAGGAATCAACACAATAAAAGCAAGTGGAAAAGCAAAAGGATAAAATAAGCAAAAATCATCTGGTTCAGGTGAAAGGGAACCAGGACTGATCCTTAGAATAAGAAAGCAAAGGAAACACATGAGTAGAATATCCCAGGTAGATAATGTGCTCTGGAACGTTTTTATTCTCCATTTGCACAAAAGATCAGCAGCCAGGCCTCCAAGGAGCCACTCAATATTAGGCGAAATAATGAGGTCTAAATTTTTATTCCAATTCCCATGTCATCTGGGAGCAGAAAACAAAATGGATGAACTGGTATATAGCAAAGCAAGGATGTGCCTTGCATGGGTAAATGTTTGCCCAATTCGTCTCTTTAAAAACAGTTGGCTACCAGAGTGGAGTGGAAAAGACTTCATCTTTTTCAAAATACTAGGACTGAAGCTCTTCCTTTTCACCCAAGTCCTTTAAAACTGTCAGAAAGGTTTTGCAATAGAAAACAATTTAAATTCTGAAATCATTAAGTTCAAAACTTATATTTCTCTGCTTTTTAAATTCTAAACCTCTAAGAACTTGACTCAATATGGACTCACAGGGCACTATTTGTTTTTATTAAATGTTAAAAGTATGTATATGATAAAGAGGCTCACGGGACTACCAAGATGTGCAACTAATTCACCCCTGGCAAAGACAAAAGTGAGATGAATTGCTTTTTTTAAAAAGTGAGGACATTTCAGATCATGCAGAGGGTGCAGTATGTTAAGTTGTCAGTCACATTACAATATCAAACTGTGGGATACAGGTACAGGTTGTCTTTTTCCTTTAAATCTATCTTGTTCAACTGTAAGTCATTTTGTGAATGAGTTGAGAGTCTGGGAAGACTGTCAATTACTTGGTTTGAAAGTCTGAGACTTAAACAAATATACATGTTGAGGAAAAAAAACCTGAAAGGAAATATACCAAATGACACATATACAGAGTGGCTGTGTACGAGTGGATCAATTCTAAGTGGGGCTGTTTTATACTCTTTTGCTTTTAACTTACTGTAAAACATGCTGAAGTTTTATCCAATTAAAATAAAACCATTCATTACTTAAAAGGAAGACATCAAGTAAAATCATCACATACCTTCCTACAAGTTTGAACCAATGGAACCGATCATAAAATGGATCACTGCCCGTCATAGTGGTTTCACTTTCGTCTTGGCCACTGGAGGCCATCTCACCTGCCCTGTCATACATCTCTCGCATCAAGTCCAGCCTCTGCCTATGTAGTAAACATAAAGTGCACCGGGTTAATATCACAAGATGGCATGAAATAGTTTCACTTTGGAAGTATGTTCCATGCAAAAAATTTTTAAAACCCTCCCACTATTTAATGATCTTAAACAAAATGAAAGACCAAAAGTACAGAAACCAAAACAGTAACCAAAGTGTCTGAGTCTAGAGATAAGCCACCAAAAATCAAGAATGGCCACCTATGCCAAAACCGGTTTGGCTCAGTGGATAGAGCGTCGTGTGACATCTCAAATACACGGGTTCGATTCCGGTCAAGGGCATGTACCTGGGTTGCAGGCACATCCCCAGTAGGAGATGTGCAGGAGGCGGCTGATCGATGTTTCTCTCTCATCGATATTTCTAACTCTCTATCTCTCTCCCTTCCTCTCTGTAAAAAAATCAATAAAATATATTTAAAAAAAAAAAAAAAAAAAAAGAATGGCCACCTAACCTCCACCGAGTCATAGGAAAAATGTCTTTCAATGCTGTGTGACATCTCAAATACACTGAAATGGTGAAAAATACTTCATCATTCTAAATGCAGAGGAAGCTTACATTATAACTTTCCTGTTTATTACATTACTGGTCATCCTGAGTTCCAGGTCAGAGAAGATGAATACTTACTAGATCCAAGACATAAATAGGTACCATAAAATTGGAACACTTAAAATATAAGAGGGCTTATGGAGTATGAATTTAAATCCCACCTACAAATGACAAAGGTGTTTGCTGAGTGAGATTCATTCACTTAGAAGAAAACGGATGGAGAGTAATATCCCTGGCCAGTGACAGCATTTAGAGGCACAAAAAAGGAAGCAATAGCAACACCTCAGAGAGGAGAGTCTGAAGGAGCCCACTTGAGCCCATTACTATTTCCTAAATAAAACAACTGGCTTAATGAATAACGTTTTCATACTTGAGTTTCTCCAATGACCAATAATGTGTTGCTCCATTCTTCAGATCCTGGACTTCTACGGCCACCACTGTACGAGGGAAAGGCCTGTCTTCATGAGTTTTTTCCATATCAGTGGGAAGTAATTCCGGAGGTAAAGGGGAGTACAATGTGTCAGTCAGCAGCACAAATTGAAACTGCACCTAAATGAAAACAAAAAACAGCCTTTGTTTTTAGCATGTAAGCGTCAGACATGAGGTGATATAATCATGCCCAATGGAAAAGAAGTCAAACACATGTTGCCGGCCGGTGTGGCTCAGTGTTGAGCATTGACCCATGAACCAGTAGGCCATGGTTAGATTTCTGCTCAGGGCACATGCCCAGGTTTCAGACTTGATTCCTAGGAGGGGGTGTGCTGGAAGCAGCTGATAGATGATTCTCTCTCATCATTGATGTTTCTCTCTCTCTCTCCCTTCCTCTATCTGAAATCAATTTAAAAACACACACATGTAAATAAAAAAAATGAATATATAGTATATACTAAACAAATAGCTTGTGATTAACTGGAAAAAACACACACAAACAAACAAAAAACTGGCCACTTATAAACTCATCATAGAGAATAATTCTAATGTCAAATTATGCTATTTTAAGATTTCCTTTTCTCTCCTGGCAGTGTTTTTGCACAAACTAAATTCGCAATATATAATTTGGTTGACTGCATAAAGACTTTTGTAGAACTTATACAAAAGACTCAAGAATGCATCTCTATCTAGTCTCTCATTAATGGGTAGGTCCAGAGGAACATGTCACAGTTTTCAATGTTAAATTCAGAGGATTACAACTACGACTCTTACAAGTGTTTACTACATGGCTAGTGCTTTCCATGCACCATGTCATTCATCCTCACTCCTATCTTATTTTCACCAATAAATCTTTAATTAAATGCTAGCGTACAGCAGTAAGGAAAGCAAGACATAGCCCCTGCCTTCCTTTAGTCTACTTGAAGGAAGGAGTAATTAGTAAATAATTACAAAATGAGATGGGTGGCTGAGATTATGAATGAAGACTGCTTATCCCCTTCTTTCAAACTAGAATACAGACTCAGAACACGATATGAATTTGCCCAGAGCCAGGTAGTCTGTGCTCTTACCTACTACACAATATTGCACCCCCCGCCCCCGCCCCCCGGTAATCTTAGCAGTCAGGACACTGCTAAACAGTGGGTCATCCACTTTCCCATCCCTCACAAATCCCTGGGTGGCAGGCATTGTTGCCAAGCCCATTGTGTAGCCGAGGGAATGGAGGACAGGGGTGTTAGTGTCCACACAACCAGGAGAGCTGGGACTGGAACCTGGCTGTCTGGGTGCAGAGCACATGCGCTTGTCCATTCCACAAAACCGCCTCTGAGGCCCTAGAATAGGAGGGGGCACATGGGACTTAGGTGCAGACTTAATTGTAAAAACTAAAAGAAAACTGAAAATGTCAGAAACCCAAGAGAAGCATATTTCTACTAACATGCTTCTCTAGCTCTTGTCGGGAATACAGTCTCCTTATTTATAAAATACCATAAGCTAGAAAATGTGTTGTTTTTAAAATTTCATGTAATAATATAATTAGTACCTATTATGTTCCGGGCACATATATTAAACAAAGTCATATATAAATCTGTTTCAAAGCCAAAAGCAACTGAGTTCACCCGGAGAAAGGCTATTTCAAGATGAGCACCATGAACCGCATATCAGGCTCAGAGTTGCCTCCCGATGGTGCGTGTTCTCACTCCCTCCGTACCTTCTTCTTTAATTCCACACTGATGGCATTGGCCTCCTTCAGGTAAACAGCATTGCCCCAGAGTAAGTCCCTTAAAGAAGTAAACTGGTGAGACTTCCACTTCCGGAAGGCCCACTGGGCCAGCTCGAATTCATGTTGTGTCCAAGGAACTGAAAGAGCAAATGCAGTATATTTGTGGTGACCTCATAACCATGTAGAAACTATATCCTCTTCTACCCATCACTTTGATCAAGTACTGTATTTTCCAGTCTTTCTCCAGCCAGCTGCTCTTGTTTTCTTACTTTTGGTAAAGCTTACTAGATTCTGTTGATATTATGATATTATGACAACAGTATATCCATTTCAGAAAACTTCAATAAATCCTACTGTTTATTTTAAAACAACACATCAAAGAAATAGATTTCTCCTTCTTTTTTAAAAAGAGATATCTCTGATGTGTGGATTATAATATAGAAAAACCCCTAGGATATTGTACAATGCCATATACATCTATTGTTCTTTCTGGTACAGGGGGAAAAGGCCTTATATTTTACCTAGATATTTAAAAATAAAGAATTTAGCACATAAATTAAGAGTTGCTTCAAAGTTCATTTGGACCCTCATATTACTGAGAGGCTGAGTAGAGAAGTGAAATGTGACAAATGTTTATACTGTAATATTAGGCTAATAAATTCTGGAAGAATTAAGAGAGGTACATTTAGTGTACATTGATATGTTCCTAAGTCCTCAACGGAAAATCCCTGACATAAATCATAAACCAGGAAATAGAATAGAACATATTAACAAAGATTAAGCTCTGTGTTTATCTGCTATATGATCTTCATATGTACAGTAATATTGGACAGTACAAGTACATTGCCCCACAGGTTTATATGAAGACTACTCAGAAATCTTGTGTTCTGAGGCTCACAGTCCCACTCCCATCTCATAGACTATAGCCTGGATTCTCAGCATTGAGCATCTTTAAAAAATCATCTTCAAATTGGCAGTGAAATGTCAAAAAATCCCTGACATAGGGACAACTATGGTCAAATCCAGCTCTGATCACAGGTAAAGGACTAATTTGATAATATAGATCCAAAAGATATACACAGGAAAGTGTCAGTCTCTAGATTTCACCTTCTTCTTCCTCTTCTTCCTCTTCAGTTGTTTCTGCAGCCAGGGATCGAGTCTCAACCTGCTTCTGCAAGGCCTGCAATTTACTCTCATAGTCCTGAAGGAAGAGAAAGGAGACAACATGTAGGAGAGAGGAGATAAATGGGAAGGAAAAGGGAAGGAATATTGGGAAAAGTAGAGATAGCAAAAGAAAAAAAGAGAGAGAGAGAAGATAGAGGCAGAAAACAATGATAAAAAGACAGACATACAGATAAATACTTAGAAGGAAAAACCCACAAAGCACACAAGATAGTTTGTAATGGGTAAATGTTACAAAGAAAAAAATTTAACTGCAATCTCTCTTTCCTCAGACTCAAGAGTTCTTTTATAAAAATCCTCACCAAGGGTATGTTTTTATTGATTTTGAGAGAGAGAGAGAGAGAAACATCAATGTGAGAGAAAAACATTGATTGGCTGCCTCTCATACTTGCACCAACTGGGGAATTGACCCACACCTTTCAGTGTACGGGAAGATGCTACAACCAACCGAGCCACCCAGCCAGGGCTCAAGAGTTCTTTATTTGGGTTTGTGGTAGAGAAAGGAGGGATTTTGAGGGGGGAAAATGCATGTGTCCCTTAAATGTTAAAATACATTTAAGTAGTACCTTTACATATCAAGCAATTCTAGAAAAAAACAATACTGAAAAAGATTAAATTCACCAGTACCAGCAACAATTCCAATTATCTAGCTGTTTAGATGAGAAAAAATTAGAGTCTGAACTCCCCTGTGGATGAAATATTACTGACTTTGCAGCTGGAGGGTGAGTTTAGCCTTCAGGGAACCAAAAGATCACAGTGCTATTAGGATTAAAATAATCTATTGATTGCATTTAGTTAGTCAATAAAGATGCTTTATTTTTAAATATACTATTACTAGAAACCCAGTGCACGAAATTCGTGCATGTGGAAGGTGTGTGTCCCTCAGCCCAGCCTGCACCCTCTCCAATCCAAGACTGCTGGCTCCCAACCGCTTGCCTGCCTGCCTGCCTGCCTGCCCCTAACTGCTTCTGCCTGCTGGCCTGATCACCCCCTAACCACTCCCCTGCCAGCCTGATCGATGCCTAACTGCTCTCCTGCTGGCCCGATTGCCTCCAACTGCCCTCCCCTGCTGGCCTGATCACCCACAACTGCCCTCCCCTGCCGGCCATCTTTGACCACATGGGGGCAGCCATCTTGTGTGTTGGAGTGATGGTCAATTTGCATATTATCTCTTTATTATATAGGATAATACAAAATGTATTGTTATAATACAAATCAGATTTGTCCTTTGTTTCTCCATCTACTCCATGTATTCTCAATAAGAGTATCACCCCAAAGTAAGCAAAAAATTATTCTTGAGGGATAAAAAAATGTACTCTTCTTATATACACAAATAGACATACCATATGTAAACAGACAGACCACATATCTGAGGTATCAAAATTACATGGTGGGGAGAGACTGGGAGAAAATGCTTGTAGTATTTAATAGTGGAAAAATGCTGGCATTTAAAAAATAAAACAAGTAAGGTTAAGAAAAGAGACCTTGGCATAGTAAAATACCAAACCATAGCATGAGCACAGCATTTTAAAATGTACTGTCCAGATCTCCTGCTTCTTGGGAGGGACCTTAGTAGAGGCTGTCATGGGACAGAGGGTTTCAGTCTATGTCCTGTTTCAAACCGAGCTCTCCAAGTCACATACCAAATACTCCAGAGCTTTCCAAGTATACCAAATACTCCACTGAAAGCCTGGCTAGCAAACTCCATCACAAAAGGAGCTCCCAATGGCAATGCTAGGGAGGGTGCAAATATTCTCAAGGCTCTAGTCGTTTATCATGTAGTCTCACAAAGGAAGCTTTCTCTCTCTAGTGGAGCTGGCAGTGAGCAAAAGCCAGCAACACAGCTTTGTTAGCTATCTAAACACACTTAAAAAACATTAAAGTAGCAGGTAAAGGGCTTAGGTTCTGCCCCTGGCACCTGCATACTAGTCTGATAATTCTGGGAAGTTAAATCCTCTCCAAACCTCACTTTTGTCATCTTTAAAATGAAAATTTTAAATTTTTGACTTGCCTACCACACAGGACTGAGGATTTTTTAATTTTTTATTTCCCGCATTATCTTATTGTCGTAAATACATAAAATTTACCATCTTAACCATTTTTTTTTTGTTAATCCTCACCTGAGGATATTTTCTCCACTGATTTTAGAGTAGAAAGGAGGAAGGGAGGGATAGAGAGAGAAATATCGATGTGAGAGAGACACATTAATTGGTTTCCTCCCTGACTTGGTACAGGGAGCGAACCCACAACCAAGGTACATGCCCTTGACCGGGAATCAAACTTGAGACCCTCTGGTGCACGGGCCGATGCTCTAACCACTTAGCCACACCCGCCAGGAGCATCTTAACCATCTTTAAATATACAGTTCAGTGATATGAAAGACACTAATACTATGAAGTACTATGAAGATGGTACTATTGTTATCCTCATGTTAAAGAAGAAAAAGACTTAAAGAAATTAAGTATCTTTCCAAAGATCAGAGTTAGCAAACAGTGGAAATGGGATGCTCTTTTAACCACCATCTATCCATCCAGTCAGCAAGCGAATACCTTTTCATCCCTTCTATGTGTCAGATGCTAGGAATACAGTGGTGAGGGAGAGACAGTAAACAGTGAACAGACACAGGATGCTATTATTTCAGCACGCCGAAGTACTATGAAGAAAGGTAGGTGTGAGGGGTTAATACGGAGAAGAGAGGAATTGGAAAAGACTTTCAGATCAGGTGGCCAGGGAAGGTCTCTGTGTAGGGATAACATTTAATCAGAGACCTAAGCCAGCATGCTGAGATCTTGAGGGGTGGGTGTAATTCCAATTAAAGTAGAACTAACCGCAAGGACAATGGTCCTGAGATGGAAAGCAGCGTGCTGTGTGTGGAGTGGGAGAGCGGGAGGGTCGAGATGTAGCTGAGAGGTGGTCAGACGGGGACTGGGGTATGGACGGCTGTGGTGAGGACTACGGATTTTATTCTAAGGGAAGCCTTTGGGTGGCTCAGGGCTGTGGTCTCATATGTATTAAACAATAAAATAAAATTAAAAATAAATATTTTAAAATAAAAAAACACACACAAAAAGACACCACTCTCCACGGAGAACGGCCTGGGGGCTTGGAAGCAAGGAGGAGTCGTGCGGCTCTCCGTGATGTTGAGGAAGATGGCGGTGGCCTGGTCCAGGGTTTCAGCAGTGAAGTGGTAAAGAGAGACTGGAGCTGGGATATGGTCTATAGGCAGAGGCAATGCGACCTCCTGATGATGTGCTCATGGGTGTGGTAAGAGAGGAGAAACTGAGGATGACTCTTGCATTTTTGGCCTGAGCTAGTTGCTCCGGCTTAGACAGTTTAAATGTGAGATGCCAGCTAGCTGTATGGATGTCAGGTCATGGCTGTGCCTGTGTCTACAGGTCAGGGCAGAGGTCTAGGCTGGAGAGGACATTTGGGAGTCAGCAGAGGGAAGCAAGGCAGCGGTCTGCAGACTGCCGGCCTGAGATGGTACCTGAATCCCCACTCAGTAGTAGGTGACTGTGGGAAAGTATGTAAGATGGGATGCCAATATCTACTTGACAGAGAGGACACTCTGAGGATTCAGTGACCTAATGCACATAAAAAGGTTTACTGGCTCAATACCCATGAGTTACTATCTTCACTCTCACCGATGAGAACATGGAAGGAAAAGCCCCAGAAATGAAGAGAACGGGCAGATACAGAAATAGCCAATGTAAGGCCACAGAAAGCATGAAGGAGCAGCCAGAGGGGCCAGAGGAAAATGAGAAGCCAAGTGAACAAAGTGTCCCAAGAAGTGATGAGGACTGACAACACCCCCCCGGAGTTGTCACTGTGAGTATCTTTGGACCCTGATGAGAGTGGTAAGGTGGGAACAAAAGTCTGACTACAGTGAGTTCAAGCAAGAATGGGGAAAGGACACAAAAACCATGGGAGGTGGACAAGTGGAAATTCAGTAAGAAGACTCTCAAGGAGAATTCCTATGGAAAGAAGCAGAAACGAGTGACAGCTCCTAGGAAACTGGTGAAATGAAATCATGCCTGTATGTGACAGGAATAATTCAGAAGGAGAGAAACTGATGTTGTAAAGGAGAAGGTAAAGGTACTGCAAGTCCTTGAGAAGGTGACAGATGGTATGTAGGAACAAGGGCAGGACTAAGATAGGAGCAAGGCCAAGTATGGGGATGGATGCATGGGAGACTAGAAGTGGGAAGAAAAGGAAGTTTTCTTCTGATTACTTCTTTTTCTCAGTGAAATGAAACAAAAAGTGATCAGCTGAGAGCCAGGAAAGGCCACCTTGCATTCCCTGAAGCGCCTGGTTGTAAACTTTCAGAGCACCCTGTATTTTACCCCGTCATGTGGCACAAATGTACTGTGTAACTCTTGGTGTGACTGTCTAGTGGCTGTCTCCTCCACAATTCTGTGAATTTCACAAGGTCAGAGACCTGTCACTCACCACTAAATCACCTGTGTCTGGCACACAGCTGTCTCCTAGCTCAGATACACTGTCATATATTGATCTTCTAGTGAATAGTTCTCAAAAGTGATCATGTTCTAGATTAGGGGTGGGCAAACTATGGCCAGGACCAAACCCAGCCGACTGCCTGTTTTTGTAAACAGTTTTATCAGAACACAGTCATGTCCATTCTTTTGCATGTTGTCGATGGCTGCTTTTCTGCATAGTTGCAAAAAAAAAAGGGCCCACAAAACCTCAACTATTTACCATCTGGCCCTTCAAAAGCTTGCGAACTCCTGTTCTAGACTAAGATTCCCAAAGGTGAGTGCTGATCCAGCAGAATCCACTTCACCTGGGAACTAACAGAAATGCAAATGATCAGGCCCGTGGCACACCTCCCAAACCAGAAACTTTGGAGTGGGCCCAGCAACTGTCTACTTTACTTTCCAACCATGATCCAAGCAACAGCCTTCATCACTTCGTGGGTTGTGATACACAGGGTTTACCCGACCGCAAGCTGATTTGTTGACTCTTCCTGAAAATAATCTATCGGAGCCTCTCCTTTCTCCC